CGAAATGGAAGGTGAGATAGGTGGGCGAATTTCTAACTAAGGTAAGTAACAAGTTGCTAAATTTTTCGCACTAAATACTTCTAACCTTATTCAATATTCAATATAAAGTGTTTATTAATCCTTGATTTAAAACTTTCAACGAAGCAGAACTTATTTTTTTTTTTTTGCAAGAAAATGTAGAAGCTGAAAAGCGATTAATGGGAAATAAAAATTATCAAAATACCTCTAATGATTTAAAAAACCAATATAACCACCCTTCCTTTCTGGCATAGATTCGTACAATTTGGATCAATGCCACTTGCAACTTTTCCCACAACTGTTCTGTGGTTAAAAGTGGTCCAGGAAATTGCCTCATCCGCATATCCACCTCATACCATAAATTTCTATGGGATTTAGGCCGGGAGACTGGGATGGCCAGTCTAGCAAAGTGATCTCGTTGTTAGTGAACTATTGCTTTGCTTTTCCGAAGACATTTTTTGGATCATTATCTTGCTAGTAGATAAAATTACTATCCTTTAGCCCCTTCTTTTAGAAGATTATTTGTTAGAATTTCGCATAGTCATCTGCATTCACAATTTTTCTCAACTCGTCGCAATGCAACCCCAAATCATAATCGAATCATTGCCAAATTTGACGGTGACGTAATATGCTGCTCTTTTAACTGATCACCAGGCTTTTTTCGGCCATCCAACCCGAAAATTTGGTACTTTGCTCTCGTCAGATCAAATTACGCATCACCATTCGTTGGCCATCCAAGTTCAGTATTTTTTTATTCATGCCAACGCACATTTTTTTGTGTGTTCATTTAAGATAAGACTCTTTCATTTATATGAGTGAATAATCCGTTTCTACAGAGTATATATATATTATATTATATTATACTTAAAATAAATAAGACTATCTATTAAAAAAATTATATAATAAAAAGTATACTTTTTATACTTAATTATAAATGATTATTATTAAAATTTATTAATAATTAATTTTAATTTTAATTGATTATAGATTAAAATTAATATATAATTATTATATTATGAATCTAATCAAATTTATTTTAATTAGATTAACAACGTTAAGTAATAATAATCAGTTTTTATCACTTAAATATTTTTTAAAATTAATTTTTATTTCTTTAGTTTTATATAAGTAATGCTTAATATAATTTTAATAACTTTCATTAAATAATTATATCTTGAGTAATTAAATAAAATTATTTTTCAGATATAAAAGCAATTATTTACAAACTTTAAATAAGTTTTCATTAAGTTAGAGAAGTGTTATTTATAGCATTATTCTTCTCTTCTCTATCTGATATATATTATATTATATAGATCCCTTATATAAAATATATATAATCTGACATTTGACTAGATCTCTCATTTCTAAAAAATTAGCTAATATCTAACACTTTTTTTTATTATTAATTTTTGTTATATAAGAATTTGACAAATGATATTAATAACTTTCATTAATAATCTTATTTTAAATTAACTGTAACTCCGAAATTTGGGTCTTTTAGCTAAATTTTAAAGTTTAAAAGTTTGGAAGATATTTATACACTGTATTTTTATTAGATAAAATATAGGATAGGTGTGAAAAATCAAAACTATATCTGCAAATTAAAGCGCTTCTTTTAATTACAAGCTATAAGAGCAATGTTTAATTATTGTTTGATGTTTAATACTAGAAATCAATTTGCAACACAAATGGAAGTTTGATATGATTCTTAACAAAACAAAGTTTAAGAATTATGCTTTTTTATTTTCTATATTAGATTAAACCAGTCTATATTTCGATTGCGCGCATGTGCGTCGCTTCAAGTCAAAGGGTCGATTTTCTACCAAATCTGATTTTTGCATATGGGGTAATAATAAATGTTTCTAAGCATGTATAACAATTTTTGCCTTAATTGTTGGCATAATACCGACATTAAACAATCTATTCTTTGGTCAAAATGTGTTTCTTTATCTTACAATCATTACAACAACAATGAACTCTATTGAAACCTCACGACTTCTGTTACTCAGCTCACATCTCAACAAAGAAAGATAGTGAATTGTTCCCAATTTTCTGTCATAATTATTATGATGCCCGAATCTCGTGTTTATATTATCAAACTTTCGTTTTTGTTATGCCTCTTTTTTTTTCTTGTATCATACGACAAACCTCACAATACGTAATTTGCCAATACATTATTTGTGGTGCGACGTTATTTCGGGACGTGTTATTTTGAAACCATGTAAGCTATTTCTAAAGGGTACGATTTTCAAAATGATGTCCATGAGCGTAATTTCGCGAAAATACGGTCGGTACATTTATTAAATTATTACTAATATTAAAAATAGTGAAATACAAACACAAGACAAGATGAAGAAAGCAAATGTAAACACGAAGTAAAATATAGACTTAAAGGTGGAAATAAACACAAAGTAGTAAAGACAAGTCTTATTGGAAAAATTATTTACTTGAAACATTCCTTTTAATAATTTAATAAGTCAATACTAAACTTTAACATGCCTGCATATGCCTAAAATATTATGACACAGGCAGAAATTCTGGGCCTAATAAAAAGGGAGACATTTGGACGCTAACACTTCTGTCCAGCATGATGTCAATTATGTCTGGCATAATCGCTTGCAGAACCCTAATGTATTTATATGTTGTATTGCTTTCCGTTTAATCGATTTTTTCTATTTGATTTTTAGACCAGTTGTAACAACTTGTCCTATTGCGTGATCATTTGAAATGCATTTCTACAAGGTAATTTTTAATCATGTGGCGACATCTATCTACTGTACAAAAAAGTTGCACAAAGAATTTGAGTCTCTGCCGCTATTATAACGACAACAATTATCTCTAATTTATTTTCTATGATTTCAACCAATCCACTTATTTTTATTCAATGCATTCAAAAATAAAACCTAATGCTCATTGTGATGAATGTTATTATTATCAAGTACATAGATACTGTGATTGCAGTAAATGTCCTCGTTGCCAATACAACGAGTACTTCATTGACAGTTTCTCTTATCAAAAACCAATTTATAACAATGAATTATTTAGCGGAGATAAAGATATCGACAATCTAATAAAAGAATGCGACAAAATTTCGAATGGTTCCCTTTTTGAAAGATTTACCAACATTAATAACTGGCAAAAGGAGAATTTTATAAAACAATCTGGTTGGATAAAAGCAAGAAGAGAATAAATTTATACGATATAGAAATTGTGTTAAATCATTACACAATTCCAAAGCAAGAGTTTATAAAATATTTTCTAAAGTGAAGTTTTTTCTGATATAATCAAATTTTGAATATTTAAAATCCAGCTACTCAAAAACATGTTATGTAAATGGTGATCCCCGTAAATTTATTACGAAAAATAAGCGGAATTAAGTTTATATCACACGTGCAAATATATCACATGATCAGTAAATGTACGCGTAATGCAATTTTGCACTAATTATCATGTGACATTGTTTATATATAATTGTTAAATGCATATCGATATACACGTAGGTTGCGCATCTTTGAATTATTTTTTTCCTGGCAACTTTTTTTAATCAACAAACTAAGAAACACTAACACAGCTAACATAACTTTTAGTAAAACAATCGTTATGAGCGATATTCCAAGTTATATGAATATTTATTCAGCCTTTGATTCATAGTTTTCTTTCCGTCTCCTAATCTGCTCAATCTTCCTAGCTTTTCATGCCTATTTCAACAACAACGCACCCTGGCTATACCATGAATTTCTAAATCTGCACCGTGATGACATTGTTGATTTCGTCACGAGTTATTAATAACTAGTATAATATTCACAATCTCTGGTGTAAGCAGTTCGTGGCTGTCGCAAAAGAGCTTGATGTACAGACAAAGGTACAGTAAAGACTTCCTTTATTAGGTGTGATTGTATAGAGAACCGACTATTTTCGCTGTCATTATCAGTTGCAATGCCAATCCAAGTTAAAGTTGTGACAGGTGCGGCACCTCTTTATACTCGTTCAGTGCACGGATTAGAGGGTGGACTATAATTTGGTTGTGATTGTACAGAGATCCAACTGGTATTTATTAACTCAAGAGTATCAGTTGCTATACTGTTCCAAGTATTTATGGTAAATTTCTCTTGAGGTGACGCTCTAACAATGAGGGTAGATGCAAGGTGCGTGGTAGATAGTGTAATGTATTTTTACTGAATCGGCTCGGCTTGAGCGTATCAGGTACTGGTCCAAGATCTCTGTAAGAATGGCACTGATTCAGGAAGATACTCTTGAGATCACCAGCATTTTTTCTTTTTGAAATAATCAGTGTTGCTAACGAAAAATACATCATACAGGTAGAGTTTGAGCCTCAGAAGCACTGACATAGCAGATATATCGAATTATAAAAAAAGGCGAAAGTGAAGAAATATGTAAAGGTAAACGTGAAGAAACAGGCTTCATAGAATCAAAACATTTCTCTATCGCAAGAAACAGCCACAGATCTAAACATATGTTGGGAACAAATAATCGATATAAGCCAAAAGGTAAGTTTTATTTTCTCAATCATTTTCATGATTGGTTTATTTTTATTTCCTCCCCTTTTGTCTAATAGCTTAATCCAAATTTCTCCACCGTTCTTTTACTTTTTCGCTCAGATTTTTTTGCTATTGATTCTCACTAAAAATGCTGATTACAAATAAAATCTAACATCATTTATTTCTAGGAAAATGAGCTCTCAAAATATAAAACCGATCGGGAATATCTGAGCTTGACGCAAGATGCTCGAAGATGTAGCAAAGAGCTACCATGTTTTAGATATTACTATTTCACCAAGAATCAAGACCTATCGTTGGTCCGTCTATGTCAGCATCCATTGCAGCTGGTGAAGGTGGTGACTGCGATATGGATAATGACTACAAAGACAATAGCAGCAACAATAACAACAATGACAACAACAACAACAATGACAACAACGACAACATCGCCATAATAGTAGTACCCGTCACAACGATGGCACGATGGAGACCGCTGGTATTAGTGAGCAATCCGAGGATTTTGGGAACACAGATGACCAGCTTGATCAACCTTACGGCGGAGGTGATAATCAAAGTGAGGAAGTCCGAGGTGTCAAGCGTCTCTCCGAGAATGGAGATAGTGAAGATGAGAATAGCGAAACAGCAGCACCGGTTGTTAAACGTCAACACACACTGGTATCATTTGGCAAAGTTCTCACTTGACTGTCATACATTTTGAATGAGAAGCGAGCTATATTCATCAAGCTCATGGAAGGACTCAGAATTTTTCGTCGGAAAACATATAAATAAGAGTTTCTGGTAGAGACAAAGAAACTTTTGGCATTTTAAGCCCATTACGAACAATTACACCACCACTGCAGCAGTCTCTGTCTCGGGGCAAAAGCTTAGTTCCGGAAAGATCATAATCGGTACAACCGAGACCATGTGCACTGCATTACGTTGCGCTTTCGATATCTTTCGTTACCACACCACAACCACAAGCGTCGCAACAACAACTACAACCAACACAACAACAGCCACCACAACCGCGTGGTCCGAACATCTATCAGCTGGACTAGCGGGTCCAGCAGTTAGAACAACAGTTGCGACAACAGTAACAACAGTTGCAATAACAACAACAATAGCATCATCAAGAAATACAGCTTTTACGGCAGCAATTTCAACAGACGTATCAACAGAGCATAGTTATTGTGACTGGTCCGTCGCCACAATAGTTGCAATCACAAGCATAACCTATATTAATTTTCAATCTAATGCTGCAAATCTAAAGTGCGTCTTATCGAAAAATGCAAATAAGGTCACTTTAGCTTCATTGATATTTTTTGTTAATAGAGTAAATGAAGTCAAGTGAGATATTGGAGTTAAAATAAATTTCCTTTATGGGTCTTCTGAGTGGAGAGAAAGGAAAGTGGTTGAAAACGCGAACTTTAGATTATTAAAGGCTTAGATGAGAAACTTGAAGGGAAAATTGAAGAGGAATGGGTTATAGTGACACAACTTGGCCTTCAGGAAACGCCGAATGGGAGTCTGCAGAGCTTCTGTGAGGCGGCAGTGTAACATATGACTAAGTGACTGACACTTATCAGCGAAGGGCGCGTTCTCTTGCAAGGAACGGACTTACAATGTGCAAAAAAATGGACAAGTGTAACATGCACACATAAATATGCAAATGAAAGCCCTTTATCATTTTCAACTGAAAAAATTTAATTTTTTGAATATTAAAATGACTTCATCCAAGCAGGAAATTCAGCAACAAATGATATTACATTTCTGAAAGCAGGAAGTACATGATGCTGCCAAAATTCACTCATTGATGAAGATTCCACTTAAGACTATCTACTGCAACCTAAAAAAAATTGAAGATACTAGTGATATCAAATGTAAAAGTGGTAGTGGTCGTATCAAAAAAATAATGCCAAATACTTTTGAACAATTGGAGAATATATTCGAAGACAACCCACCCTTCCTGCTGATTCTATTGCAAAAAATTAAAGAATATTGGAGTAGATGTTTCCCACTCAACAGTTTGTGACATTTGTCTAATCATGGATATTGAAATGCACTTCTCTTAATACATCAATGTTTACACTAACCCATAAACAAAAACGAGTTGAATGGGCCCAAAAACATAAGGATGATAATTGGAAAAAACCCTTATTAGTAATGAAATGGCTTTTCAATTATTTTATAACATAATAAGAAACTGATATAAGGATATTAAGAGGTAGATGGCAGTTCCAGCAAGACAACGATCCTAAGCATATTAGTCATATTGCTAAGGAATTTCTAGATAATAATGTCCCAGTGGTTATGGACTGGTCTTCTAATAGTCTGGCTTAAACCCCATTGAGAACCTTTGGGCAATTGTTAAAAGGAACGTGGCGTTGCGTATGCCAAAAAAACCTTTGGTGAGGAATGGGAGAAAAGCCTTCTAATTAATCCTATAGAGAAGTTATCGAAAAAAATGGCGAAAGAATATCATATTAAATTTTTTTTAATAAAATCTGCAGCGTCTCAGCTTTATGGTCTATGGGTCGAAAAATTCAGGTACAGGTTGTTTTGGCTTCATTGATGTTTTTGTTAGTGGAATAAATGAAAAGATGAAGTCAAGCGTGTTAAAATGTATTTTCTTGGTGGATCTTCTGAGCGGAGAGAGAGGAAGATGGATTGAAAACGGGACTACAAAACATTAAAGGCGTCAACACCAGCTGAAACTTCCGGAAAGAAAACTGCTAATTGCAGGGCCTAAATATCCGAAAACATAACAATTCATAATAATGTTGGTTTATACAGTGGTGTGCAAAATTTTTTACGATCATGTTATCTTCACGAAAATCGCACCAATCAAAATGTATAATACGTTATTTGCATGCCTCGAAGATATGTATAAAACATATTGATATTACATAAGATCTATCCGATGGATGATGTTGAATTTTGGCGGGTTGGTAATTATACAGTATTAAGCTCATATTTATATGGGCTTTATTTGCATTACGCTTATAAAAATATTACATGTACTCCGATTTAGATTAGCCCTCTGCTTTCATACTTTTTTGTTTTGCTGGTGGGCTTCTCGATTGGAACAGATTTTAGTTCTGTTGTCCGAATCAATCGTTACTTGTTAGAACGAACATAAAGGTTTATCGGAGTTGATAATGAAAAAGAAAATGATTATCATCATCACCTGTTGATAAAAACGAATTTGACTAATACATGTACACGTACGCTTTACTTATTTGTCACAGTTGGGTTTTGGGTTTCTTTCAGAATATTATGAGGAAGAAAATATTTGAATGTGCTCTTGGTGCTGACACTTTTTAAATCAAGCGTCTTAGAATCGGGTGTTTGAAATACATACTATTTAAAAATTTTCTATTTGACATGTACATGTATAGCCCACATAGGCGAAATTAACCCAAGATATGCAAATAGCCAAATAAGCTCGAGAAAAATTCACCATTTATTAAAGTAGTTTGGGTAAATTCCTAATAAAAAGAGAGTCAATACAAATAAAAAAAATGTCTGAATTAAAAAATAACACAAACCTTCATAAATCGCATATTCCGAAAAATTCAAAGTTGACAAATTATTTAATTTCACTGCATATTGTTTCGCCAATTTCACATGAGAATCATATATTCCTCTAGCAATCAGATGCTTCAAACGACGATGATTCGACGCCAGAAACTGATGTAAAACTTCGTCAGAAAAACCCAACCTACTAGTGTCAACAAGAAGTGAATATAATGTGGGTGGGAGTCTCTCATTCAGAATACCGAATGCTTCAATCAACGATTTTGAGCCACAACCAAGATGCTCAAGCCACTTAGACGACTTTAGCAATGGGATAAAGATTGATGCATCAAACGTCGGCAGATTAACTCCCCGAATATTGGGAGAGTTAGAAATAATTGTCCGAACGAGATTCTTTGCCATTTGTATATCGACTGGCGTATAATATTGCGGGTAAAGATTTAGATATTGAAAATTATGACCACTAGCTTGGATAACTTGTATTATAAACTTCCGTGGAAACTCCTCGTTACATCGAAGACAGATTGATAAATATTCGAGTCTTTTTAAAAATTGAGCTGCTTCAATCAAAGACTGTTGTTCTAATTTCCTGCACCTATAAAATTCAAGACCGCGAAGATTTTCGCAAGAAGATATTCTGTGAATAAGATTTCTAGATTCGTACCTATTGAAATCAATATTACAAAAAAAGATTGCTTGTAATGAATTGGAAAAATTGATCGTTTCACAGACTACTTTAGGTAAAGAGCATAGCTTAAGCCACGCTAATTTGCTTTGTACTTCTATTAAATCATTGATTCCTTGGGCAGTATTCGTTAGTTCTTCCGTAACAGCACTTGTTTCAGGTGTGCTCAAATCGTCATTCCAATCATCATCAATGAAACCGATCGAAATTCCACGAATTAAATGGGTAACTTCGGTCAAATATTCAAATAGATTTTGCAGATTTTGCTCTCTTCTAATTTTAGTTATTTTTAATTCACTGAGAGTTTTTAATGTTAACTTTTTTAGAAATTTAATCCCATCATCCATTTCTAAAACACAATTCAAAGACTTTATTGACGTCATTTCAGTTTCAAAAAGTTGACACAAAGATTTTTTTAAAATTCTGGATTTGGTTTTTTCTTCCTGAGTACGAATCACTGGATCACTTAGATTAAGCCATTCATCAGCTGCCCTAGAAACTCGTTCTGCATCATAGCAGCGCAAAAATGACGCATAGTTGAAAGTTGATGATAGAGTTATTGATGGTCGATTAATTCCATTGGCATTAAGAAGTTTCCATGTCTCTTGTGAGAAGCTCCTTACATATATATCGACTACTTTTATTGATTGGTTGAAGAAATCTATTTGTTTTCTTTTGTCATTTCGGAACGGGTTTTCCCATAGAATTGGTACAATTTCATGACACAACCGTCGTTCCACAAGCAAGCAGCTGAATAAAGACCCGTGATTCAGATTTTTAAATATTTCTAGTCGTATTTCCGTGGGTAATAACTCAAATTTCGAAATATTTGCCATCTTCTCATCTTCTCTAAACGCTAACATCACGTCGTCGAATATTTAAAGTTTTTTGTAAAATAATTTCGTCATCGTTACATATGACGATCGATCATACGTAGTTTATGAATCATATTGATGAAATTTTCACTACGTGAGAATCTTTTGTAGCGGTAGATCAAATTTTTGAATATCAAATACACAATCAAATGTGTATCCTATTATTAAAGTTTACGAAATTGTCAATGAGCTAAGAGAAATTAATTTTTTTTTACATCAAACTATTTGGTATTGGAAACTGTACGAATCTCAGAAGTTAGCATTGAGGACGAGGTTTAGATAAAAATTTGCATAATATATTCAATAATAATAAAATGAATAATATATTCAATAATAATAAAATGAATAATATATTCAATAATAATAAA